ATAAACATGAACGAAAAAGGGTTTTTTCTTAAAACTTTAAAATTGCGATACTGTAAAATTGCAAAAAAATACTTATCGGGTTTTGGATAATTTCCACAGGTTTAATTGTTTGTTATAAGCTTAACTAATATTCGAACGACTGAACAATTCTCGTTTCTAAATATTGTATTCACTATGTGATATAAATTATGAATTTCACTTTAAATTGAAATTATTTTTGTTGACTTAGAACTCATAGAAATATTCGAATATCTTAATTAAATTGCAAAAACAAAAGAAAAATTTTTACCATTTCGAACATTTAATATTTAGAATGACTAAAATTATAATACAAAAGTAAAAACTCCTTAACTAGAATAACGGACCATAATGCAACAAAGTTTAATCGAAATGATGAAACAGATTTAATGAAATAATTCTCTTGTTATAAAAATTATTATGATTTTGCATATTTTTAGGAGAAAGAAATGATTTTTAAATAAATTATGCTAAGACTAGATTGTTTTGTTATAATTATTTACGTTCAGCATTTTAAAACATTTTAAGAATACAATTGAAGGTATCCGTTCTCGCTTTTATTAAAGTTCCATGGATCGTATAGTGCAGCCTACTAATGAACATCCAAATAGGAAACCAAAAAATTACATTTTGTAAATTTTGAAATGTTATAATTTAAAAATTAGGTAGGTACGAGAAATATTGTTGTAGCGAACATTACACATTATTGAGACCTGATTACAAACTGATCCAAAGTCCATGAGAAAAAAATTGCTCCGGATGCCGGATTTGAAACAACTCTTAATTTGAATAATTAATTCAACAGATGACTATAATTTTCATATCTTATATAGAAAAAGAAACTTCTGACTTCAATGAAATGGAATTACCTGAAGTTTGGGCCCAGTATCTTATAAAAAAATGCATGCTTACAACTTTGAAGACCTAATTTTATTATCTTCAATTTTAATACGTGACACTAATAAAATTATTTTAATATTAAATTATAATTTTGTAAACTGTTAATAAACCGAGAAATATTATAAATGCACTCAAATTACAACAAGGTAATGAAACTAGTCTGAAATAGCCGAAAATAATAAAAGGTAAAGAAGAAACATTCACTTCGAATTTATACCTACATACATAGATATTATAAAATTTATGATGTGCGAACAAACCGAAAGAGAGAAAAAATGTGTAAAATACCATTTAAGTTAAAGGTAAATGGAATAATTTTCATTTATGTACTTTACAGAAATTATTATTAAAATGAATGATGACTACAATACCATAAATATAAGTGTGTGACGCATATTGGCGTTTTCACAACTTGGAAATTATATTCGAAGCGATATTATGAAAATAATCGCAGACAGCTAAAAATATGGGATTTCAGTTATAAGTAGACAGTTACGTTTACATTGTAAGTTGTAAAATTCACAACAATTTTTAAAAATACATACATATATTACCAAAAAATATGCATGTACTTGTCTTATCTTTTCACCTTTATTTTTATTTAAAAATATTTTTACTAACGTTTTCAATGAACTTCAATGTACCTTTGCCCTTATTCATATTCCAGTGTATAATACCCTTCCTTTCAAATGGGTTTATTTGGTATCCAAGATATTTTACTGTTTTAAATTCAATTATTTAAAATTTGCAATTCGGTTGGCATTGCAATTTTAATAATTATAATTTTTACATTAATGTCCAATTATTCTATATTCCTAAAAACATGTACGAGTTACATGTAAAGATAAACATAATGAAATATGATATACATACGGTAAAGATAACAAATAACATGTTCAGCTTAATTCATTCAACTTGTATAATATACTAAGGAGAAATAGCAAGTATCAAAATTAGTTTTAAGGCAATGAAAATTCCTGTATCAAACCAACATAATGAAATTTCTATAGTGGAATTGTGAAAATCTAATATTTGCAAAGGTGAACTGAGTTCTCTTCAGCTAGAATATTGCTCATTTAATGCAACATTAAAATTACTGTACACTTAAACACTATGCAAGTGTTTTCGGCAGATTGTTATTAATGGAATGCAAATGTTACAAATGCAAGATGTTTATTAGAATGTATATAGATTTTTAGGACAAAATGATCGAAAGAAACTTTTGCATTTTTTGAACTATCTTGGTCTAAATTTTATACAAATTAACACTTTATTAATAATTTTCCTGGTTTTGCTAAATAAATATTTATAACATTATAATTGGGATGAACTACTCATATTAAACTACTCTGGTACAAATATAACTTACTGCATTCTTCACAAACTAAAACTTTGTTTAAATTTTTTTTGCTTTGCAATTATTCATCCACTTTTGAGTACATATTTTGCATGAACCTATATACAATAATAATGTGAATCTCGAAATTGATTTTAAACAAAGAAAATCGATATAAGTAACATTGAGACGTAACATGTATTTGAAATTTTGTTCATTGAAAATATAAGCTTACATTAAAAATGAGGAGAGAATATAGAAAAATAAAGAAAATTAAAATAATGTGATCGTAATTTATTTAACTTTTTTCAATCAAGTTATTCGATTATACAGATTTAAAAAAATTCAAACCATTAAAACAATTCAAGGATACAATAATGAATGAAACGTGTATCAGACAGCACACAGTAAGAAAAAAAAAAAATTTTATAATTTTTATAATAGCAAGAAATTTTGAAAATTAGTGAATCAAATTATTTTTGGAAGTAAAAAATAAAACAGAAATAATTACACCTCAACTCCCTTGTAAACAATCCTGCCTGCAAGAGAGATTTTGAAGCAATAAAAAAGCCTACTGAAAATTGTTTATATAAGAAATTTCAAAAGTGGCACATAAGCGATCGCAAGATATATTTTTTTGTTTGGCGAAAGTTTGGCACAAGATTATGACGATTTCCTTTAATTTACTTCTTTGAAATTTTCAGAATGCTACTAAGCTTTTATTTGACATACTCAGAAAACTGGAAATTTGGCTGTTGGTAGACGTTCCTTTTAGACTATCCGTGCCTTAATTAGTTCCGGTACCAATGTGCTACAATTGGTCCTAGTATAGTACTCTGATCGATTTTTGTGTTTTGTGATCTCTGATATTTCTAAAAACTTACAAAAGTCCCCTCACTGGCACCTGACTTCCTTCCTTGAAAAACTGCTCTTGTCGCATTTTGTCATACGAAGCTGATACGTATGTAAAATATCAAGTTAATCAATCACATATTTTCTTAAGAATGTTCAAAAATGCAAAATATTCCAGTACTTAACATCTAGTTATCGAAGCCTGACAAGCTCTCCAAAAAATGATCAAGCCTTAGTTGATCGGTTTAACGGAAATTGTGATTAATACACGAGCTCACACGAAAATAAAATTATCGGCAGAACATTTTGCCAAAAATAGTTAATTTACAATTCGATACGCTTTTCGAAAATTCAACATTCGAAATTTGGTGCCAACACATGACCTTTCTTTTTTTATTCAATTTGGTTAATAAAAAGGCATAGCCTCAGAAATTCCTTAAGCATACATTACAATATAAATTTTAGATCAGCTGTGCTCGAACAAAACCTGTTTTCGCAAAATATTAATTATAAACAGTTAAAAACGCCATTAAAGTTTATTAATTATGCACATTTTGAGTATAAACTTAAATTGAGCATAAATTGTAACATTAATTTTCTTAATACAATAGGCCAATTGTAATTAAATCCGTTAATCTTAATGAGAACATTATTCATACTTCAAAATTTGTACAAGACAGCTGTTTAACATTTTTATGAATAATAATCTAGAAAATTTTAATCTCAAAAAACAAATTGAATTTTTATTGGCCGCTTGTTATTTTTATTTTTAAGCATAAGAATAGAGAAACAAAAATAATGAGAAAAACCACAAACGATTAAAATAAATGCGAAAATTCTAAATCTGTTTGAAATTAAGATTTAAACAGATTCTTTTAAAAATGCTATCTAGAACAGGAACTAGTGTATTATATTCAACTTTGGATTTATTATTTATTTTATTAGATTTTATGTAACAGATTAAGATTATTATAAAAAAAACCCACAATGAAAAGAATATTAAAAAAATAAACTATTCCAGATTGTTTCTAGATGACGAATGCAATTTAGCCTCACATTGTCTTCTGTTATAAAAGAAAAGGAAAAAAGAATAATTTATTTTTCAAAGTCAGGAATTAATTTTTTGTTTTAAATTTTTTATTTCTCTTTTTTATTGTTATTTTACTTGTACATTTTATGAGCAAAAGGAACTTACACAAAAAAAAAAACCGACCTTCGGCTTGTTTTTCAGGAAATTTTATTTTCTTGTACTTTTCTTGTAATGAATTAAGAATGTTGCACTGCTTATTCTGTTTTTAATCAATAAAATAACCAACAATAAAAAAAAAAAGAAATAAGTTCAAATTCTTGTTATGCTCTCATATACCATCATGATGGCTAACATTTTAACGGAAGAAGATAATTAAAACATGTTTAACTAGTAATTATTTTAAGGTGTAAGAAATTGAACATGTTATTAATACTCACTTAACAGAAAAAATGAAAAAAATTTGTCAATTTTAATCTCATCCCTAGTAGTGTTCTTTAGTACTTTAATATTTAGTACAAAAACATACCATAAAATGGTCAAGAATTTAAATTCAAGCGAAAAGAAAACCTGAAATTACATTTACTTTTACTTTTACATATGCAACCTTTTTTAATACGTTTTATTGCTTTATTTCAATTAGCCTACACTTTCAATTTCAACTATCATTCAAATATATGAATGTAATTGTATAATTATAATTTTTAATATCTTAAAATTTTTAATAACGGATGTTCTTTTAGGAATTACTTGGATACCATATGTATAAAGATTAAAAATGAGTAAAACACAAAAAAACCAAAATTTTGCAACTGATAACGTTTTACTATAAATGCATTGAGTTGAAATTGAATAGTCATCAGTCAATTTTGGTAATTTCTACTATTAAGTAGTATAGACTAATTATTGTTGCAATTATTTCAATTTTTAAAAAAAACCAACAAAAAAATCAAAATGAATAAATTCGTAAGTTAAAATTTAAACAAAAAAACAAAACACAAACAAAAAAACCTTAATTTTATAACTTTTAGATTGTATTCGCTTGTTTAATTGCTGTAGCTGTTGCTAAACCAGGTCATCTTGAACATGGATTAAGAACAATTTCAGTACATTCTGAAATTCCAATTGTTAAAACAAAATTGATTCATGAACCAGCAACTGTTGCTGTACATGAACATACAATTGCTAAAGTTGGTGAACATGTTGAAAGTTTTCCAACAGCTGTATCCCATCAAAGTCAAACCATTTTACATAGCGCAGCCGATAAAATTACACCAATTGTTGCACCAGCTGTCAGAACCCGTTATGAACCAACAATCAAAACTTATGAAAAACAATATATCGAAAAAATCCCAGTTGTTGAATCCTATGTTGCACCAACTGTTGTTAAATCTTATGCTGCTCCAGCTATTGTTAAATCATATGCCGCACCAACCCTTTTGAAAACAGCTCCACTTTTAAAATCATATGAACCATATGGAGCAACAATCATCCGTTCTGAACCATTACCACAATGGTAAATTACAATATTTGACTGATTCTTATAATTCTATTGTTCGGAGAAAATGAAAATATGCTTTCAATTGAAAAATTAGAATTAGAAAGAAAAATTACACAAAGTTGTTGATATTATTGAAAATAAAATAAACAAAAATAAAAACAAAATAGCAAATATTTATTAAAAATCAAATGTTTATTCGTTTTAAATCTTTAAACACTTGCAGTTTTCACTCTAGTATAGGACAATAAAGAAAAGAAAAACATTGAGTACTGTTTTTGAATGGATCAATAATTGAGTAAAATTTTACTACAATAATAAAGATAAAGTTTCAAAAACTCCTAAAACTATGATATAAAAAGCACACGATCCATGGCTTTGGGTATTTTCTAAATAATAATTTCCAAAAATACTAAATTTACTTATATTTGTATATTAGTGTGTTGAAACGTTGCGTGAGAGCGTTTTATAAAAACATTTCGAGCTCAATAATCTTTTAAAGATACAAAATAGTTCATATTCCAGATACTAAATCTTATAATCATATTCCAATTTCCAAAAAAAAAAAGCATGAGTTACACCTTTCTCTAAACAAACACATTTGAGCTGCAACATTCCAAGCCAAATCTCTTCACTATGGGCGCAGAAACAATTAAAAATTCAAAATGGATGCTTAGTAATGGTCCAACTTATTTTAAAATGTAATTAATTTATTGCAATCACAGACCAAAACCCTTATGCAAACCAAGTTGATTGTGATTAAGGTAAAGTAATTGGTTTGTATTTCACTAACACATGTATCTCCATCGATATCTTAAATTGAGTGCAGTTAGTGTATCATTTGTTTACTGTATGCATGTAAAAAATCTCAACTATTACACACAAATTTAATTTAACTATGATATTATAAAAAATATAGACTTCTTTCTATTTTTATTTAATTTTTGAATACTATCAATGGCAAGTTTCAATGAGCATGAAGGCTGTTAGCTTAAATTATAAACTAATTAAATTAAACCCAATTTCAATTAGCAATAGATATATGTTGTACCCGAAGCTCGCTCGTATTCCCAAACCAAGTAATAAAATAAATCCAGACCAGACAAACAACAATAATAGATTATATTTTATATCAAATTTCTGTAAAATAACGAAGAAAATTTTAATACGGAAAATTGTTGCTAAAAAAAAGCAGCTTTAAACCCTAATGACTCGAAAAGGAGGGCAATGAAATTATATATCTAAATCATAATTTTTGGTTTGGCTGTTTTGTTGCTACTTTCGAAGATACATTAAATACCATCGATTACTGCAGAAAACAGTGTATTATACCCTTCCTGTTCTAAAGACAACTTATTTATATTACACGGGTTCAGTAGACATTTTGAAGCACAAGCCAGAAAATTATTTTGCTTTGAAGAAAAGAAAATGTTACTACCGACACTAAAATAAAATTGATCTGTATGAGAAGCAATCCCTTAAATATTTACGATTTTATAAACACTTCTACATATTTTTTTCGACACAGTTGTAATATAGATAGTTTTAATACTATTATTCAAATATAGATTTACTTATCTCTGTTCCTATAATATTTATATTGACATTTCCCATTGATCACACAATAAGTTTGTGTATGAAGTGAATCATAATCTATATATATAAGAGCAAAATAGACACATTTAATAGTGACAGCCCTTTTGTACCTCGACAAATGAATACTTTTAGGAGTAGGATAATACCTTGTACGTGGATTCATATCACTTATTATTTTTATGAATACCGGCTTTTTCATTTGTTTAGTTTACGTTTAACTTGAACACTATAGCTTTTATATTCTTATTAAGTATGACTAAGCAGATTTTCAACTAAAAACAGAATTTTAGTAACGAATAGATTCATACGAGTTTACACCTGCTGCCAGAGAAATTCATCGAACCTAATGGATGGAAGGGAAAAGCCTGTTTTCATCCAAGTATTGCGAATTAAAGATGATGTGATATCTTCTTTCACAATGAGGAGCAAATGTAGGTTCTTGTCTCACAAAAAGTAACAGGCATAATTAGAAATGAACCATGTGTTGATCTACTCTTCTGTATATCCTCTTTAGCTTAAGAAGAACATCGAAGTAACTAGTAGAATGTTTTAAAATTTCAAATTATTCATTTAGTTTACAGTTACACATTCAATTAGAAAATTACCTATACTCTAATGCCAATTCCAGATTTATAATTGAAATAGAGATATTCTAAGCGGGACTTTGGAAGCCACCAGTAAGTAGCGAATAAGGCTGCGGTGGTCCCATTCAATTCGCTTGGAATCTACCAATAATATGTTAAATTTTGACCTTATTAAAAGAGTTATAATTAATTTCTTCAAACTAAATGCTCTTGATAATGGTGTCACTTAAACAAAAAAAAGCATTCAAATTTTGTTTAGATGATTTTCTGATTTTTCTAATTTGAAAACGATTATTGAAAAATGTCATACGCAGCCAATTAGCAATTTCTTTGCAATCCTTATTCTTTCACAACTTGACATTGTACTTTATCACTGAAATTTAAATAAAACACTTAAGACACATACATAAGCTGAAGCGCATTATTTCAAGTTTTGTTGACATTCATTTCAGAAATTAAATTAAAATTTTAAATAAATAAATACATATATAAAAGTAAATATACAAATGTACGTTATACATGCTTTGCTGCCTATGCATAAACTCAAAATGAAGGAAAATATCATACAGATGCATACTTTTCTTTATTACAATATCCTCTATATCAGTTAATGCTTGTTATTTAACTCTTTTTTCTTGTTTTTTATTATGTTCAAAATATTTTATTACTCAATAAACATATCACTGTTACAGTTTTTTACTCACTTATTTATTTTTTATTCTGTTTTTTACTTTTTTTACTACCGCTGTACCTAAATAATTGTAGCAGTGAGCTTTTCAAGTTCAATAAAGAGTTACAAATACCAACATCAATCTAAAGTTGAATATATCTTAATATGATATAGATTTGTGCAATTTTACAGTTACAATTTTTGAGTATAAAAGCAAGAAATGCAAACCAATTCAACATCAGTCAACATTGGTAGTTTCTACTATTAAGTAGCACAGACCTTTATTGTTTATTTCAAATATCCTTAATTTAAAACAAAAACAAATTATTAAAAATGTACAATTTGGTAAGATTTTGTTATACATATAATTGTAGTGAAGAATTTGCATCAAATTCACAATATTTTCTTAAAAATTATATTATAGGTGGTGCTCTCTTGCCTTTTTGCTGTAGCTTTTGCTAAACCCGGTTATTTAGAACATCATCATCATGGATTAAAAACTGTTTCAGTACATTCTGAAATTCCAGTTGTTAAAACAGCATTAGTACATGAACCAGCAACAGTTGCTGTACAAGAACATACATTAGCTAAAGTTGGAGAACATGTTGAACATATTCCAACATCAGTATCACATCATAGTTCATCTGTTGTACATAGCAAAGCTGATCTTATTACACCAATTGTTGCCCCAGCTGTAAAAACACGTTATGAACCAGTTGTTCGTACCTATGAAAAACAATATATTGAAAAAGTACCAGTTGTTAAATCATATGTTGCTCCAACAATTATCAAATCATATGCTGCTCCAGCAATCGTAGAATCATATGCAGCTCCAGCTATTGTTAAATCATATGCAGCACCAGCTATTGTTAAATCTTATGCAGCTCCAGCTGTATTAAAATCATACGCTGCTGCACCTTTAGCTCATTCATCTTTATACCATTCATGGTAAACGATGAAAAGGCAAGATTTATATTTGACTGAAATTTTAATTCTATTGTTCATAAAATACTGCATAAAAAATAAAATATAAGATCATTTTCGTTTTATGAAAGATTAGAATTAAAAAAAAAAGAAACTTTGTTATAAAAATTAGAAAGAAAAAATATAAACTTTATATTTAATTTTGGAAACCAAAAATTCTGTCATTTCTTTTTGTATTATTTGTTTTTTTTCAGTATTTAGAAACAAGGATGTAGTTAACTCTAACAGTACCTCTTCAATTAAACCTAAAATAATGATTTTTCGATGGCACAAATGTTTATCACGTGAAAAATTTCATAGTTTTTGGCCTGACTTACTTCCCATTAAATTTTAGATATTGTGATTGAACTAGATAATGCATTCTAAAACTTGCTTAGAACCTTTATTCATGATTAGCTTTTTCAATCTTTTGTTGAGTTATAGCTTATTTGTAGCGGATGAGAACTGAAATGATTACATTAGCAAAATATTAGAGTCTTATAAAGTAGCTTTGAAAATAAAATTTAAGTTATTGTTAAACACAAATTTTATGTACTACAATTCCTTATCAAAGGGTTTTAGAAGCTATATGAAATTAATAGCTTCAATAGCTATTTCCAATACACAAAATTTTAAATTATTTGAAATTACGTAACATGATGATTAGGGAAATTTCGAAGAATTCATAGCTATAAATAATTGTTTTTGTTTAAGATCACAAAAGTTTAATTTATTTCAGTAAAATCGTATTCTTAATTTAATTGGAAATCCTAAACTGAAATATTCGTTGTATTGTCACTATCAAGTTGAAGAGGTCATGCAACATTATTAAAATAAAATATTAACTTACAAAATGTTGGTGCAGGACAACCAAGAATATATTTTTTTAAAGTAGCTTGAAAAAAGTTTTTACTTACCTATTTGTTCTTTAAGTATACGCACTTCATTTAAACATTATGCAGTTCTACGCCATCCTAGAACGTAGATTTGCCATTAAGGAACTGCAAGAACAGATTTTTTTCTGACGGATTGCGATATACTAACTTTGATAATGATTTGAAATTAATTCTGCGAAATCAATATTAGAATTAGTGGAACTACATAATATAGTATAATATTAATTGCGATATTTTTCAATGTGACTTATTGCAATGTGACTTAGTGCAATGTGACTTAGTGCAATATGATATATTGTGATATCCAGATACGTGCACTGCAAGTTAGTTAATTTGAGTTATGAACATACATAATTCGATGTGTTTTAAGCTTAGACAAAATGCAATTTATTTTAACAATACCAAACTTAACATTTTTAGAAATATGACGTGAATAAATTAATATTTAAATTTTGCATATCAAAAATACCATTAGAATTTCTAATACTGTTGCTAGTCAAAATAAATACATATTCGATTCTTATGTCTACATTCACATTTAATATGTAATAATTACTGAAATTAAGTGGCAATATAACTTATCGGTATTAGACAGTAAAAAATATTATTTACTTTAGGCTAAAATGCTAGTTTTTTTTCTGCTTTTTTATTAATTTGAATAAAAAGTAAACCGATTTGTAAAATGTAGTCGTAAAGTATTGTAACAAACTTAACATGCAAGAATTGTTCATAACTGGTACAGTTATCACAAAGTATATTGTCTTAGTATAGTTTGGCGCTTCTTTAGTTTAATTTTTTAGTATAAAAACACTCCCATGAAATGTAAACAACATCAGTTAACTTTAACAATTTCAGCTATTAAGCATTCATAGCACAAAATTTTAAATATTAAATATTAAAAATGTTCAAATTCGTAAGTAAACTACTAATAAAAAAAAATATTTTGAAATTTATTTGTACTTATATTAAATGTTAACAATAATTAAAATTATTTAAATTTATTTTGTCTCCAAATAGGTGATTCTTTCCTGCTTTATTGCTGTAGCAGTTGCCCGTCCAGGTGTACTCCATGGTGCTCCTGAACTAAGAACAATTTCTGTTCACAGCGAAATCCCAGTTGTTAAAACAAAATTGATCCATGAACCAGCAACAGTTGAAGTAAAAGAACATACAATTGAAAAAATTGGAGAACATGTTGAAAGATTACCAACTGGTATAACTCATCACAGCTCAACAGTTTTACATGGAAATGCCAATAAAGTTACACCAATTCTTGCACCAGCCATCAAAACTCGTTATGAACCAACAGTAAGAACTTACGAAAAACAATTCATCGAAAAAGTACCAGTAGTTGAATCATATGTAGAACCAACTTTAGTTAAAACTGTACATGAACCAACTCTCATTAAATCTTATGAAGCTCCAACACTTTTAAAAACTGAAACACCAACATTTGTAAAATCATTTGAAACTCCAACACTTTTGAAAACTTTGCCAGAAGCACCACTCTTAAGATCATATGAAGCACCAACACTTTTGAAATCTTTTGAAGGATCAAGTCACTTAAAATCTTTCGAAACACCAACTCTCTTAAGATCATTCGAACATCCAACTCTCTTAAAATCTTTTGAAGCACCAACTCTTTTAAAATCATTCGAAGGACATGGAATCGTTGAACATCGTGATTCACCATTTGTGTTCCATGAACGTTTTGAAGCACCAAAAGTTAGGTCTTTAATTTCACACAATGATGCTGTTATTGTTGATGCCCCATCATTCCCAGCTCCATGCCTTAATTGTGGTCATGCTTTCATTGAAGGGCGTTCATTCGAACACCCAAAAATTATTGAAACTAGCAAATGGTAAATTAAAATAAATTAATTACCAAATTTTAGAAATAAAATGTTATGTTTTTTGCCTAAAGATTTAGGGAATGTCAATAATTGTTAAAGTTGATTTGTTTTTTTTTTTAACTTTTAATTTCAAATGGATAAATAAAATGAAAATATGATACATTAAAATAACAGTTTTTTTTATTAAATCACGCACAATTTCACTCAAACTTGTAAACTTCAAAAAGTGACATACAACATTTTTAAATTTTACGAATCTTTTAGCAGGATCTTTTTAAATAGAATTAGTTCAATTGCTATTCTTTCATTCAAAAACCATAGCAGCAATAAAACAACATAAAATATCGTGATTGAATGATCCAGGAAATCACAACATTAAGCTTTTTTTTTGGTCATGCATACAAGGTATTACGATCTTTCTTTTGTTTTATATTTATTAAAAAATTCCTGTTTTATTATAACCTCATTTTAAATGGTTGCATAACAGATGAAAAAGCAAATACAACATTTTATTTATATACGGTACATAATCAGAATAGTATTTGAAAATTTCATACTTATTCCATGTTACTATATAAATATACCAAATATTATTAAATTGCATTGTATTTCGTTAATGTTGAATACGAAAGTTCCTAAACCAATTTTGAAAAGTTCGAAATTTTCTAGTCACCCTTACGGTGGCTTATATCAACCAATGAGCAAATTTTCCCCTAAAGTTCAAAGACACCAATGCATTTTGCGGCGACATAATGTAAGAACTTTAAATAATCTCTGGCTCGACACAGTTTAGAATAACTAAACACATAATATAGTTTTGCGTATATATATATATATTAATACACTTGCATAGATTTTTTGGTCCAGCTATTATATTTAAAAAGATTTTCCTATTATTTGACCTGCAAACCTTTCTACTGGTGATTTATAAACATGTAAATAGGAACATTGATTTATTAAATGTCATAATTATATTTTACCCAATTTTTAATTGCTTACAGTATAAATAATGAATGGAGAAAATTTCTCACAAAATAAATAATGTAGTTATACCTATACATACATACATATAAATATGATTTACAGACTGCAGTTATTATAATTAATTGAACTTCATTCCTCTTGAACCGCTGAAAATTATTGTATATTTTTTTCTACTGACCGAAATAACTGCAAAATTTTAATTAAATGTACTGTTTAGATAAAAATTTATTTGATCCTTCACTATACACATTTAAAAATTTATTTAAATAACCTGAAGGTATAAAATTTCAAAATAACAACTACGAACGAAATTTACAAGGTGTTACGCCCAAAAAATTATCAAGTCAAGAAAATCTATTGAAAATACTTTTCTGCGATTGAAACTCTTGCTTCAGAAAATCGATCAAATACCTATATAAACTTTATAGCGATTCTTAATGGGAATTTATGTTTTTGTAAAAAATTTATCATCTAAAGAAAATATTTCGAAAAACAAGGCAAGAATAAGGCACTAAACGGCATAGTCTTGTGAAGGCGCTAAACAGCACAGTAGAATAACCTTAATATTAGAACACATTCAGGCAAAGTGTGCGTTTAATCTTTTACAAGATTTTCGATTGACCACTCTGTACTTAAACGTACAATTTATTTGTGTATGACCAAATATAGGTATTTGTTTTTATTATTTTTTTTTTGTTTAATAATTTTTGTCTTAATTTTAATTAGTTTGCGACCTTATTATTATTATTTAAAAAAAAAAAATTAAAATAAGTTCACCTACACCATAAATCAACCGGTTTGATTTACACACATGACCTATAAGGTGTTAAATTTTACGCAAGGAGAAAAATATACTATGTATATGCAAAAGTTAATTAAAGTTTGAACGAGAGAGGAATAAAGATAAGAAAAAATAGAGAAATGAAATTGAATATACGTAAATGGCTTAATGTATACATAATGCATACCTACATACAAACTGATTTTTTTCGATATTAAAAAATCTTATTACATGGCAATGTAATAAAATCATTAATATGAATGTTTTCATACACTCAAGTACATATTGACATACCCATGTCAGTTTAGTTATTATACTTGACAGGTAAACTAATAATGAAATAACAAGTAAAACGATAACAAGAGCAAATTGTGTTTGAAAATTTAATACTCAAAATTTCATTCATAAAGTTGCAATTTAATACAAGGCATTGCATTTAATGTTATAACAGCAAATATAGATGGGTATAGGTATAGGTATGTACAACACAGTTGCAAAAATATATTATGATTTTTCATATTATGTGTTATAAACTTACCTGTGTACATAATAATTTGTTAGTATGTATGTATATTGCTGAGAAAAAATAACTTCTGTTTTAAAACCAATTCATTAACAAGCTTAGTTTGATTTTTTGTTGTACCGCTTGCCACTGTTTTTTTTTTCTTTATTACTCTAACATTTCGTAATAATTCACAATAGTAAAGGGTAAAATTTATATGTTTTAGTTTTTTGTTTGTTTTTGGTATTTTCGTTCTTTGTTATCTAAAAGAGAAAAATATCCGCTTGTATAAAAGCAACATTCAAACTTCAAATCAATATCAGTCAAACTTGATAGTTTCAACTATTAAGCTATTTTGAAGCACAGACCTTCTAACTTCATTTTGAAAAAAAAAACATATTTATTATAACAAAAATGTACAAGTTGGTAAGTCAAGGTTAAAAAAAAAAAAATTATTCTAAATAAAATTAGAACTAAAAAAAATTATTGAAAAATATGTACATTATTTAAAGGTGGTGCTTACTTGCCTTATTGCCGCAGCTGTTGCTAAACCCGGCTACTTAGAACATCATCATCATGGATTATCAACCGTTTCAGTACATTCTGAAATTCCAGTTGTTAAAACCGAATTAGTACATGAACCAGCAACAGTTGCTGTACAAGAACATACATTAGCTAAAGTTGGTGAACATGTTGAAAGTATACCAACAGCAGTATCACATCAAAGTCAAACAATTGTACATAGTGGAGCTGAAAAAATTACACCAATATTGGCACCAGCTGTAAAAACACATTATGCTCCAGCTGTACGTACTTATGAACAACAATATATTGAAAAAGTACCAGTCGTTGAATCATATGTAGCTCCAACAGTTGTTAAAACTTATGCTGCACCAGCAATTTACAAGAGTGCATACACATCATATGAACCAACATTATTGCATTCAGCTATTTCACATCATCATCATCATCATGATTTACCAGCTGTTGTTAGTTCATGGTAAATTTAAGGCGAGATATGAAACAATATATTAAAAAAAAAATATTTTTGACTGTCATTTAATTCTATTGTTCATAATTTTATTATAAAAATTATAATGAAATATTATATAAAATAATAATTAATTATGAAAGATTAGAATTAAATTTTTGTTTTTAAATGGAATTTATTAGAAAATTAATTGATTAAAAAAATAAATTAAATATGTCTATATTTTTGTATTATGAAAATTTTATTGTGTTTAAATTATTTTTAATCGTTTCCTACTCGTATATTAGTTATGATTGACTGCAGTACTAACAACTTTCACTTTCATAAAATGGAATGAGATTTTCCATAAATGATCGCTTTTAGAGCTTTAAAATATTATCGCTTTAAGATTTTTTTTATTAATCGATTTTGTAAATACGGTCAACTTTATTATAAAGTTATTTTTCACATGAATATTTTAAAACAAGGAAATTTTAATATTTCAATTTTACAATGTCACGACAAGAATGAGAACGAGGCGTTTATTATGACGTCATAAACTGAATTTTCTTGATACCTCATTTACATTAAACGTAATATTTTTATATAATAACATGTTGTGTGTGTGTTCATTTTCAACAAAGAATCAATAAATTATTTTACTTATTTCTCTTTAATGATTTAATAAAGTCATTAAAGATAATTTATAATTGCACATAACCTGAGCAGTAAAATAAAAAAAATTAGAAAATATTTAAATTTCATGCTTATAAATTTTATTTTATTCTTAAAAATTGTACAAAAGTTATGTTTTAACTTGTACCTCGTTTATTATTTCTAAGTGGTCTTTTATTTGTTATTATTGTTTATTTCTTTTTTTACGATATCCTGGTATAAGCGTTAATAATAAAAAACCTTTGACATAATTTTCAATTTACAAGTACTTTCGCTCTAATTTGTGTTATATTGCAATTATTGTATACTTTAACCTTAGAACACAAAACCTAAATAAAAGTTACATTTGAATAAACCACTCGTAAAAATTATACGATTAAAATTTTAAATTAACTCATTATTTACTCATTAATAATTTATTTTACCTACAAGAGAAATGTTTTAAAAAATATTTTAATTATTTATTAAAAAATTTTTTTTATGTTTCTATTACTACCGATCGCATTTCGGAAGATGATGTGATGGCACCAAATTTCGCTGAACTGTCTATGGATAATAGAGATGTCTGTCAGTCTGTCTGTAAGTGTGTCTATGCAGATGTGTATCTCAAATTCGGCTGAACTGATTTATTGAAATTTTATGTCTGAGTTCACATTGGTTATGTCGCGGATTGATCAACTTTTGGTACATGCTGTGCTTCAGGAACTGAACCTTTACTAAGGAAAGATTTCATATTTTTGATAATTTTCAAGAAAATGTTAAATAGATTAACTTGAAATTTTATATCTGTATAAGCCTCATTTAAAAGTACGAGAAAGAACCTAACACTTGGAACAAATCAGAACAGCCACTGGACGTTTACTTGGCTGTTTTTTATATAAAAAGAAATAATTAGCCAACTTCCTTGGGTGTTAAAACAATATACTTATAAAATTTTTGAGTATATTAGAGCTCGGAAACCGAATTTGTGGCCGATTTTATATTTGTTATCATATCTACGAAATTAATTAACGGAATTTGTTAAAATTTAGTGTTCGAGGTCAGTTTGCAACTGAGAGTAATTGAAAAGTTTTTCACTGAATTCGGATTTCATAAAGCCAAATTCTACTAAAATTCAAAATCACACATTTCTATATATGTTAATTAAAAGCTTTCTTAAAATTTAGGTAATACATTTGCGCTCGGTTGTGTCCTGACTAAAACGTATTTTTTTTAACGTTACTGAACGACATTCTAAAATTTTATTGAACAAAATTTTTTTCATTTGTAAAATTTACAAATGGTTTGTATTTTAGGGTTAATGTAATGTATGTTGTTGGTATTAATTACATTACCGTTATTATATAGCTTTATTTTACACACATTAAATCACTTGCTTGAATTAACAATTCAATCAAAATCAATTTTAATCACTCATGATTAATCGCTTTAATTTGATAGACACTTCCTGGCAGCCATGATAATTTTATGTTACGTAGGTAGGTACATTCGTACATTATTTTTAAGAAGTGATTGAATATACAAAATATTGGGGAAAGTTCATGTTACAAAAATTATTTACATGAAATCATGTGCCGTCGTCGTTTAGGTATTGTTTCAAAACTAAAAAATTTTTTTTTTTGAATTGCTTGGTTCTATTGAGATTTTTATTAATTGTTTGAAAAATTTAAATAACTTAAATTTTTAAGTTTTGAATAAAACTCCCTGAAATATTTTATTTTACTTAATTAGAAATATGATCAGAACCTACAATTATAATTATTAACATTAAAATTTAATAAAATTTTTAATAAAATACAAGATATGCAAATTTGTTTATTTTCAAAGAAATTAAAGAATGAATTTATATTACTACAAACTTTTCTTTTCGTGCTCCAAAAATAGCCACTGGGAAAGCCGAAGTTCGTTTCATATGTGTGTTAATGATTTTTAAATAGAGTTTTCAAAAACTTAAAATGAGTCATAAGAGTCATTCTTTCAATTTTAAAATTAAATGCAAACAATTTTTTTCTTCTTTTAAATCTTTTTTCAACAAATGAGGTGTGTAAAATATCACAATTGTTTAATAGTATCCATATGGAATACACAGATATGGTAGCTATTGTGTTCATGTATCCAATAATAAAAGAATATTTTCATAATTAAATAAAATTCACTATATTAATAATGAAATTGTATTCAAAAATCATTCAAATTGATAGCTGTATACCCATTGAAATCAATCAAAAATAATTTATTTGAAATTGAAATTAATAGCATACATATATAAAATATAAATAGAGTTCATATATTTATGTACATGGAAATGTGAAAGAATAAGGTAATGAACTTTTATAATTTATATTTGCCACCTAAACTAAACCACATTGCAGCGATTATAGGTAAAAATATCGATATGAAATTGTCGTGTTAAATGACCGAAAGTGACTTATGTGTATGTACACAATTATCAATATCTATTCCACATACATAATAATACGTATATTATGTTATACAGGGTGGACCAAAACTGGTGTTAAAGCTATCATCGGGTGAATATCGACCGAAAGTTATCAACCATTGACGTAACGATTATGTAGGTTTACTGTAGCTTCACAACACTTTACTGTAGCTTCAACAGCTTCGAAGCGGTTGTGAATATTTGTCAGACAGAATTTTTTCAATTTGCTTTCTTAGACCCTCGAAAAGTATTCTTAGACGTCACAGTCTCACTCCCATCAACGCTCATAATCCTTTTCCCAAAAAAACTACAAGCAATCACCACCCGAGATATTCAAAATCGGACTACCCTATATAAATATATTTATTTTACATTTTTTTTAACAGTGTGTACTGTGCATATTTCTAGCGGCAAAATATCAAATTTTCTATAAAGTTTTATCTCTCTTTTAGTAAGATGTAAAAACTGTCATAATTATAGCTAATATGACATACAAAATTTCGGTAAACAAATGAGTATAAACAGATTTTTTTTCGTATTGTAATTATGCAATAATCTTTTTGAAATTTCATAATTGCTCTAAATTAATAAAAGATTTTGTATATTGTAATTTAAAACTCTGTCTTACGTATTATTTTTTCACCTCATTAATAAAATGTCGATCAAAAAGATTTTTGTTTTTTAGCGAGCGAAATCGATTCAATCAAGATTTTTGGATTTTGATTGTTTTTTGATATTAAACTAGAAATTCGATATGATTGTGTCAAATTTCGAAAAAAACGAAAAAAAAAAACAGTGTAAAAAAACTGTAGAACAGTATAAAATAAATAGGAAAAAAAAATTATTAATTTAAAATTAAGAGCGAGATGATTTTTTTAACATGATTGTTACAATTTACCTTAAAAAAAAATTTTGTTAAAGACTTGCGGTTTAATATTCATAAAATTTGAGTATAGAGAGTTACACAGTTAATACAGTTAAACTCAGATGGCACAAATTATTTACATAACGCAAATTATGATGCAATAACGTTCTAATTATAGAAAAAAATAATATGAAGCGTTTTTTTTTTCTTAAATTTATTTGTTTTAGTCATATGATCCGCACAATAAAATATTATGTATCTTATTAGGTGTAAAACTAATAAAATATTCCTAAATGAAGGTGCGAGTGTGAGCAGTGGATGAGAAAAGTTTGTAAAATATTGAATTATTGTGAATAGTTTAATAAAAAAATTGATACTCAAAAACGTTGTACATACATATGCACATATAAAAGAATTATATTTTAGTATAGTTTGTTAATGTTTTAAAAGAGTAAGTGAGAGATCTCTGCAGTTCTGCGTATAACATTTAAATTACATTTAAAAATTTTAAACTTGTATTTTACCTGCTTCTCTATAGATCTATTCACTATAATGTTCATTGTTGTTCGATTTGCATGTTTATCAAAAATTTTGGACTAATTCCTTCTATAGTTGTTTTTGGTACGCACAATACTATACGTCGAAAAATAAATTCAAAATGAACCCAGAGTACAGCGAACTGCAAAAAATGCGGCCTGCCAAATGAAAGCTATTACATATTAAGTTGAATTTGTTATATACGAATATAGCGACTTCGACTTCAGAGATTTCGAATAATTCTGTTGTCATACCAATATGAATTACCAACAATTGTCCATGTTCTATTATTCAACTGGAAAATCACTAAATACACCTAATACTTTAGCTGTTTCATTTGGGAATATTTTTGCGTTCCTCCATTTCGTTTTTGCGTTTTCCAACAATACACTCAACAGTTGTAGGAAGCGTTTTACCACAGTGACGCAAAGGAATTGCATCAAAGTCTTAGCAAATAGGTGAAAACATGTGTACATATATCATAAAATTTTGTATTGCAAGCACATTATATCGAACTAATTACGTTGTATGACTATTTTACAAGTAAATGATCGGGTAGTTTAAATGTTAAAGAAATAATTTTGCCATCTTAATACTTACATACATATATTTTGCAATATTCTGGTTTGAAGTAAAGATTTAACTTGAAGCTCTTTGAACTATTAAAATTAATTTTAATAAAATCATTTATAATCTTTATAGGAAAAATAATAAAAATGCTTATTTTCAGTTTAATATACAAGTATAAAATTTTATGCTAAAATGAAGATTTCTTCTTCATAATCATTTTGCTTAATCTGAAATAATAAGTTATTAATGCAACAATTGCAGTTAATAATCAACTTACAATAATGATAAAAAATTAATTCTTGAGGAATTCAGAAGAAGTTTTATGATCCAATTTTGAAAGTAATTAAGTTTGCGGAAGATTTTTTTCGTGTGTTGGATTTATGCATTTAATTATTTTCAACTAAATGTTGTTTCCCTCAGAAGTAATTAATATTAAAATGATATCTTTAATTACATAATTACATATGTATATTATAACTTTCAAAAATATTTTCTTGGTGATTAATAAATTCATTATTGTTGCAATTGGAACAATTTAAAATTAACAATTCACTTTCATTTAGTAAAATACAATTTAATAAATTTTTAAATTTTCATTTTTGGGTATAAAAGCAGAAAGTGGAAATTAAATTATTATCAGTCAATTACAGACCTTCCTCTTATTTAACGTAAATCAACACATTATTTTTTTAAAACAATTTAAATTACTCAAAATGCATAAGTTGGTAAGTAATAAAAGTAATAAAAGTGATCGAATATTTAATTTTCTTTGATGATTTTTTCATTCGTAAATTCCTTACCATATAAATTTATTTTTTTTTGTTTTATTTATTGATTTAGATGGTACTTACTTGTTTTATTGCGTTAGCTTCTGCAAAACCAGGACATCATTTTGATCATCATAATGTTAAAGCCATATCAGTTCATTCTGAAATTCCTGTAATTAAAACTGCAGTAGTACAAGAACCAGCAACAGTTACTGTCCAAGAAAAAACATTAGCCAAAATTGGAGAACAAGTTGAAAGTATTCCAACAGCTGTATCACATCAAAGTCAGACAGTTTTACATAGTGAACCTTCTAAAATAACTCCAATTCTTGCTCCAGCAGTACAAACACGTTATGAACCAGCTGTAAGAACTTATGAAAAACAATATATTGAAAAAGTACCAGTCGTTGAATCATATGCAGCACCAGCATTAGTTAAATCAGCATACGATAATTCAGTTCCTGCATATAATTCCCAATTAGATATCCAAACATATGCTAACTCACCTGTTATAAATTCTTATGGTGCTCCAGGTCTTGTAAAATCTTATGCTGATTCAGCTATTATTAATTCCTATGCAGCTCCATCTATTGTAAATGCATATTCTGCTCCATCTGTTGTAAATGCATATGCTGCTCCAGCTGTTGTTAAATCATATTCTGCTCCAGCTCTTGTAAATTCATATGCAGCTCCAGCACTTGTGAAATCATATGCAGGTCCATCAGTTGTAAATTCATATTCTGGAAAATCATATACCGCTCCAGTTATTGCAAATACATATTCATCTCCAGCTTTACTTAAATCTTATGCTGCACCAGTTGTCGCTGGCACTTATTCTTCTCCAGCTATTATAAAATCATATAATGATGTACCAGCTTTTGTGAATTCATATGCTGCTCAAGGTCTTATCAAATCATATGCTTCACCATATAGTTCATCCTATGGTTTATCACATGGTGCATCATATGGTACTCAATATAGAACTCCAATTTATGCAAAATCATACAATAACCAATTAAATATTCAGTCATATGCACAACCTGAATTTGTGAAATCATATGCTGCTCCAGCTCTCGTTAAAGCAGTTGAACAACCAATACTTATTAAGACTTCGAATGATAACTTAGCTCATTCTCCAGTTTATCGTTCTGATGTACAAAACATAAATTCATGGTAATTTTAGCATAGGGTGAATGATACTTTTATGTATTTTTTAGAACTATCATCATTCACGTGCATTCTTTGAATATTTTTAATTGCGGTGAACTAAAGGCGAAAATAATTATAAAAAATAATGTCTGTTGATATCAAAATAAATTCTTTCCTTTTTTTTTGAACAATATGAAAAAAGCGTTTTTACTTTATAATTTTTGCTCTTCTTTGAAGTCTTGTGATCAAAAACACCGATTTGTTTGATAATCCTCTTGACATATAATCCGTAGTCTGTTCCTATAAAATAGCTAATTATGAAAATAAAAAAAAATTTTTTACTTTTTCCAAATGATCTAAATCTAGATTTCTTTACTTTATTTTTAGATAAAATAGGAAAATTATTTTTTAAAAAAGGATAACAAATTCTAAATGAAAAATTGCAACCCTTCAAGTGTATTAATCTTTATATAAGTAATTTTATTTAATTAAAATCAAAAATAAAAATAGATTTTAAAACTAATTAAATATTGAACCAAATAAATCAGTTCAGAACCAAATAAATCAGTTCAGAACCTCCATACCTAACCAAACATTCTAAGAAGAAGTGAGATGAAAAAAGAAAATTGAGCGTTCTGCGTTCATTTGTATTTCAAGCATTTAACATATCTGTTCGACAACAATAAACCAGAATTTAACATATACATATATATGTACATATGTTATATATTTAAGGAAACCGGTCTTAATTTTGCTCCTATCTCGAGTGGAGAATTAATTGTCTAAATACAACTCAACAAGTATTTAGGCAGTCTTCCTTTTGATGCTTAATATTTTATGTTCGCAAATTTTGAAAATAAGTTCAACATCATCAAGCAATTCTATCCTTAAGCGTAAACTTTAATATCAATGCAAAGATGCAACTAATTTGTACATACATTATACATTACTAGATTAATTTTTATTATTATTATGTAATAAAATTTTACCAATATGTTTTTATATTGACTACAACTTATTCAAGGTCTTACAATCAAAAATTTAACCTTATGATAAAAATAACATCATTAAAAAATTCCAAACCGTTAAAAGATCATCGTAATAATAACAAATTATATTGCATGTTCCTATAATATCGTAATGTTGAATAAAAGGATTAATCACAATAAATTTATAGGATGTTTCGGAAAAAGAAAAGCTGTAACATAATACAGTTTGAAAACTGTAGGAATGTAATTTAATTCTTTAAAGTATAAAAGTTTAACCTTTCGAAAAGAAAATTTTCAACTTGACGAGAATATGTGTGTAAAAATTTTTGTTTAGTCATGCTTTCACAGTTATATAAAATTTAAAAAAAAATATATTCGATATCAAATTTCGATATTTTTTCTAAAATAACTTAAAATTCCCAGTAAGAGAGATATTTACCATTATATGGTACCCTGTGACAATATAAAACAATAAAACATTGGTAAACGTTCATTTAAGAAACATCCTGTACAAGTAATTGAAAATTAATATCAAAAAATTGGAATATAATAAAAATAATTTTTCTACTCTTGTTTTCACTCCCATTTTTATTTTTATACCCGGAACTCTTACAATTTCCAAAAGAAAAAAAAATAACTATGTAATAAAAATAAAAATTTTCCTCATCTTTTATGAAAAAATTTCAATTAATTTTGATCTGATTTTAAAATTTAAGTAATATTCATAGTTTTTTAGATTATTATCAGTTTTTAATATTATTTGTCGAATTAATCAAAAAATCTGTAATTATTTCATAGAATTTTCGTTTGAAATACGCATAATATATTAAATTGAAAATTATAGAACAAAGGACAAAAAATTTATGACATTCGTTGTAAAAGAACAAACAACCTATACGTTGAAGTCTAAAATATATTTCAATGTTGGATAGAACATAGATCAAAATATCACATTCATCAAATTTGATCAACTCAATCAATTAAAAAATTGTAACATCTTTTCCAAGTTTGTTTATTTAATAATTTCAGCATTTGGTTGTAAATTTTGTTTTCATTTGAAATTTTAGGGTAATATCGAAATTTGATTTTGAAATCCAACAATTAATTGGAAATTGATATCCAACATAATAAAAATTAGTATGTAGAAGGAAGTAGTGAGACAACACTTCTTAAAAATAAGCAATCGTAATTGAAATTTATCATTAAAACATTTACAAAATATTATTCTTAATTCTTCTGCTTTTCTAATTAGAAATTTCATTTTTATCATTGTATCCATAATTTAGTACCTGAATAATACCTTCGATAAAAAATTAATAATAATAATTTTTTACTTCTAACTGAAAAACCCCAAATTTATTTGAATTTTTTTAATGTCAACATTTAATTTTAATAAAATTAAAGTATACCCAAGACCAAAATGGTCCCAATTTTTGAGTAAACCACAAAGAAATCAATTCATTCTTTTACAATTTTTATATTGTTTATTCTTTTAAGATTTATTAAATCTAAAGTATACTACATTTATTCTTTTTTTTATTTTTTCAATTAATTTTTTTTATTACATTAATTATTTATTTAATATAAATATAGTATGCAAAATAATAATATAAAATTTATATAAATAATAATATTGATAACATTGACGGTATTAAAAATAAAACAATAATAATATTTTTCTTCTTAATAGAGTAAATGCGCGGCGATACCTTTAGGTTATCTGAGTCGACAGTAATTTTTATTTATTTTTTGTTTTAATTTGTTTTTATTATTGTTCAAGTACCATTCTTTTATTACCATTCTTATCCAATGATAATAATATCATGATAAAAATAAAAATTGTTCAAAAGTGGTGAATATAATTGGATCAAGAACAAGTTTTTTAATTTTGAAAATTAAAAAATAAATAAATAAAAAATACACAAAAAAAAAAATTAAAAAGAAACAGAAAACCATATACAAAACCACCAGAGCAAATAAATTTTTTGACCTGGAGAAGACCTACCTTTATAATAATTCTTGTTGTTATATTTACATTTTCCATTCTGTTATTATAATTATTGTTATACCATAATAATCTTTATTGTTGCTATAAGTGAATTTAAAAATACATAAAAAATAAAATCAGATCAAATTGTAGGTATATACACATATATACAAATTACAAAAAATTGTGAAAATATCGTATATATATAAACTACTGGCATGGTAATAACAACATATTGACATTTTTGTATACATACATAAATATAGAAAAAAATGTATGTATCACTTACTCTTGTATATACCTGAATTCATACCTTAATTTTTCAAACTTACTTGCGTATACGGAATATAAAAAGTATTAAACTAGGTATATTTAAATGTACATACAAACATTAATGTATATTGCGTGCATGAAGAATCATAAGTACAACATATTAATAATCAGATGTGCATGGGTATACAAAAAATACATAATGTACATACATAATTATAATGCGTTGTATTGGTTATACGTATAAACATATCTACATATACATACATAAATATTGTAGTTGAAATCAACCAAATTCAACGAAAGTAAATTGAGTAAATTTCAAGGTCTTCAAGGTAAACATAATTTGGTAAATTGGCAACAATTTAAAGAAGCAAAAGACAGAAAAAAAAAACGCAATAAACTAAACAAAAAATAAATTAAAAACTGTAGAAAACAATAAAGGAATAACAATTTAGCTATAAATGTGTACATACATACGTACATGTGTATGTTTTGGTATTTAATTTGATAAAAATAAAGAGCACCTTTTACACCGAATACGAATATATTTTTTTTATCGAGAATTTTAAAGTAGGCGTAAAAGATCAGTTCCGATTCTATATTTATGCACTAGCAAATAAAATTTTTATTACATACGAATTACATTTTTGTAAAAATTTGAGAAAAAATTATTAGCGATCGCATTGGCGAGTTTTCGGTAGAAAATTTCTGTTAATTTAATTTCTTAATCTGTATTTCAAGTTCGGCTTATCCGATTTTCACGAAAATCTATATATGAGGTCGTTTTGAGGATAAGATAATTTATTTTTTGTAATCGTTTTTAAGTAAATGATTAGTAGATTTACTGGAATTTGCATTTTAATATTCGAATTCAGTATGGGAAAACAATGAATTTTCACCAGCAGCCGATTTTCATTTTTTATCATGTCCAAGGAACTAATTTATGAAATTTCTTGAAATTGAATATTTCATTTCTGTTTGTTACCTGAAGTAACTAACGTACTTTTTAATGATACAATAGCCTTGTAGTCAGTTATGTGCAGGTCACATTAGATTTTTTTTTTTATGGCATGATTGAACCTTAAAATATTAAACTGTACAAATTAATAATAAGGGGAGTTGTTCATTGTTTTATATTTATGTGTACAGTGATTGCTCAATATGTAAAAAACGAAATTTGGTCATAATACATAAAATACTTGAAATATACCTCTGAATTTTATTTTGGACGATGTTCGGCAAATATTTATGGACAAATTAAAACTATGTTTTCAATTTAAATTTGAAAAAAAAATTTTCACCTATTTTTAAAAAAAAAAAATATAATACAATTTTACTTAAAAAAATGCAATTTTCAAAATAAACCCGTTAATTGAGATTTAATTTGAAATGCCCACATATTTATGTCTTAAAAGTTCGATAAATACAAGCACTCCAATATCTTAAAAATTCGGGTGTTCCGCTTTCATTATACAAGTATGCATTTTATAATTTAACCTTCATTTTTAGCACTTTTCAAAAAAAAAAAAAAATTGAAAAAAAGTTTCATTCCGTCCGTCGGCCCGTCCGTCCGTGGACATGTTTACAAAACTTGAAGATAGAAACCTGAAATTTTATATGTACATAGCTCTTTACTCCTTTCCGTAGAAAAAAACTTTAACCTATCTCTCTCCCTCTAAAAGTTATTGTCCCTTAAAGTCTTAATAATTCCATTTTTTAATAAATTATTGTGGTAACTGTATTTTTAACGGTAAATGCCATGCTGTTAAAATATATAATTATTTTTTTCAATTTGGACAATTAACTTTTAAATTCAAGCTTTGTGTTAGTGCCTATTTAACATTTTTTTTGTTTTATTTTAAAGATTGCGTGCATTGCTCATCCTTACGGTATGCAATTTTTGAAATAACGTGAAAGCTAGATTGTGTTTAGCTACAATGCAAATTGTATTTTCATTTCTTGAAGGGAAAAGTGCTATTTTACAAACCATTGGTTTGACCCAACATTATTATACAAAATATTTTTCTTTACCATTTGAAAGTAAAATGAAATCTTTCATCAGAATAGTAAATTATGTAAAATAGTTTTTTAAACATGTCTTTGTATACCTCTTTATTTTTATTTGGACTTTTTAAAATTCAAGAATAACAATTTTTCAGATACCTATTGAACTATTTAAATCCTATACCATTCACAAACAGAAATTATGCTTTCAATTTCTATTGCTAAATTGTGATCTGAATAATAATTAAATAATGTTACCGCAAATAAATGAGATTCCGATATTACTTTTTTTTTTATACAAATTCTTTAAAAATGAGTCAAATAAGTTTATTTATGGACTGAAATAAGAGGAAATCAATAGATTGTATTTAAAATATGTTTTTAAAATTTAGCTAAATTTTTGTAGCTACACTTTGCTATGATAAGGTAATCGCCACTGATATAAGAAAACATCATAGGTATAGTTTGATCGAAAGATAATTTTTTATTTTTAAATATCCCTTTGTGTCTACTAGAACTAGAACCATTTAAGAATCCGGTTATCCAGAAAATAGTTTTCATTGCGTTATCATTGTTACATATAAAATTTTTATTACATATAGTATTGCAATTCTTTTGTACTTCTACTTTTTTAATTTTTTATTTCTCATAGTATGTATGTAGCATTTCTAGTTTTATTCTTAATAATCTAAGAATAATGTACATTACTAAGAAAATTGAATACATGTAACTAATTAATTTTAGTCTGTCTGTCAATTAAAATTGAATATTAAAATTTTACATTTAAATTGTAGAACGAAATTTCGTAAATTTTCTCATTGATAATTTGATAATGTTGAAAATACTAGGGAGAAGTTGATTATGGCGCTGAAAGGCCAAAGTATATACTCTGGAGAATACTACTAGGAGTAAAAAACATAAAAATAGTGCAGAATATGGGAGTGATTTCAGTTTTCTTGACAGAGAGCGTAGTGCGAATATATTAGGCTGTGTACAGAGTAGAAGGAACCCTGAATTAATACTTTTCCCTAATAATGGCCATATCCAAAAAAAAAAAGTTGGATTATTTGGCCAGATAGTCATTAGCGACTATCGCTTTAAAAATGCATTAATCATGAATTTTAAAATTTATTCTATTAAAAAACTATGAATTTAATAAAAGCACTTTGGTTTTCGGTATATTCTGCCATAATTTACTGATCTGCTTATGGTAACCAACTAAATGTCGCAAATACTCAAGCTAATCACAATAATATTGAGTTCTCTGAATAAAATATCAAAAATTTATTTAATTTTGATAATCAGGAAATGCGCTCTTCTGTTTTTTGTTTTGTGATTCTTGTTTAATATTTTTTGTCTTTTTGATAAAGAACAAATTTAAAAGGAGTAGAATAAAAGATGAAACAGCGTTATAAAAAAAGAAAAATTATAAAAAGTAAATTTAATTTTGAACACATTAATAATGTATCGTCGTTTTTTTTCAAGTTGTTTCAATTGTATAGCGTCCAATAAGAATTGATCATATAAACGTTTCCAACACATTGACAATTTTAATAAGAAAACATTTATTTTTATTATTAATTTTTACCAAGTATAAAAGAATCACGATTAAATATAATTGGCATCAGTCAAGTATAATAGTTACTTCTATTAAGGATAAAACTAGAGACCATCTTAACAAAATATTATTTTAAACAAAATTTCAAAAATGTTTAAGTTGGTAGGAAAATAAATTTTTTTATTTTTGAATTATTTTAAAATTTAACATCTAAAATGATTTCATATAAATATTCATATTTTAATTACATATTTTCCAAACTATAGGTAGTCTCCTTTTGCCTTATTGCCTTAGCAGCCGCTAAACCAAGTGGATTAGAGCAAATTCATGTTGCCCAGGATATTCCAGTATTAAAGACTGCATTAATATCAGAACCAGCTCATGTTGCAGTGCATGAACCAGTTTTAGCTAAAGTTGGAGAACATGTTGAAAGTGTACCAACAGCTGTTTCGCATCAGAGCTCAACAATTGTTCATAGTAAAGCTAATTTGATTACACCATTAGTTGCTCCAGCTGTTAAGACACATTTAGCACCAGCAGTTAAAACATATGCAGCATCATATTTAGATACACAACCCATTATTAAAACATATTCGGCTCCTTATCTTAAAAGTTATTTAGCACCATCAGCATATACTTATTCTGCTGGTGCACCATTACTTTTACCATCAATTTACAATTATGGATATGGTTTACCAGCATATCGTTCATGGTAAAATATTAAAATAAATTTGTCAATATACATAACATCGTATAAGTAAATACTCATCCTACCCATCCCGAACAAAAGACAAGTAGACAACAACAATTAATAACAACAAATAAAAGCAACAACGCAAGATAGGATTTTTTCGACTGATACTTTAATTCTATTATTCATTTAAATTTTTTATGAAATATTAGAATTGAAACAAAAAAAAAATTTTTTTATCCTTAAAGAGTTTAGTTTTAAAAATTCATAAAATGAAAAAAAAAATAATAACTAGTTTATTTTTTGTGTAAAAATAAATAAGGAATTCACTTAAAAGTATTTTAAATAAAAAGAAAATTTTAAGTCAGAAAACTGTGTTAAATTCCAAATTCTTAAACATGCAAAGGACAAAGGGCATTGTGATTATGGTGAAAAATTTTGAAAACTGAAATTGTGTGCGTTTAAACTTTTGCCTTTTCCCTATAAATTATTAAAATTTTTATCGTGAAAAAATTACTTTTAAAGGTTGCTACAACGTTAAATTTTAGTAGATATAATTACGTTCCTTTACCTCGTAAAGAACATTACGATAACTCTTCATAAATTATTAATTTCTATCTTAATCATCAAAAAAACAAAGATTTCTCAACTACGTTCCGAGTATGACCATAAATGCAGGTATTGTGATTATTCTCCCTTCAAATGGGACGAGAATCTTAGAATACTCGAACATTTTATTTTAAAACAGAAATACAAATTTATTTAAATTTATTTACATATTATATTTATTAAATAAATATACAAAAATCACATTTTGAATTTATGCCTAATAATTTTAATTCAAAATCAATGGTATTGAATTTTTTCCTTCCAATATCATTTTCATTTTGAAATTCCCATCCCATCGAATTAAATTTAAATCAGATCTTTTAAATTCCATTATTCTATTATTATTGAATTTAATTTAATGTCCCCATCGTATTCAATTATTCCATGAATATAAATCCTTCTTAAATCCTATCAATTGATGATAAATTCTTTTATTAAATTAAAAATTAAAATTCAATGCTCTCTTCCTTCGATTCCTTAAATTCAATAATCAAATTATTATTTAAATACCAAAAGGACATTTAAAATTTTTTACAAATGGAAGCACAAGAAATAATAAGAGAAACAAAAAACAATTCAAAATTCAATAGAAGAAATCTAATATGCGATTTTTATAATAGAAGGGGAAAGACCTTTCTAAACAAAATAGCACATTTTCTTTTCTCATCTCTCTTTTAAAATTTCCTTTATTCTTTTTAACAAAACCGAATTAATTTTAATTCCAATTTAATTAGCTTTTTTCTTTGTTTGTATTGCTTTTTGTTTAGATGTATGTCAAAAAGCAAATCTCTTCTATAATTTTCGATTTTAGTTTAAAATAAATTAGTATTAGTATGTATGTACCTACTTATTGTCGCGTTTCTTAAGCATCTCTCATTCTCTTATCTTTGATTGAATTTAGATTGAATTAGAAATAAAAATGTTTAAATTTAAAGCAGATTTTTACTGATGAATACAGAGTGAACGAGTAAGTTTTTCTTTGGCGCAGTTTGTTGTGATATTAAAAAAATTGGTTATTCTACATTTTACCACACAAATAACATTTATAAAACGCAACATACTGTGTCAATAATTTTAATATTTGTTTGAATATAGTTTTTTTATCTCGTTAGACTTAAAATCCACTATACTGGAAAACACGATTTCATAATCACTTTTTCTTTGTTTCTGAATAATATGCGAAATTCGTCAAGTTTTGGAGCCACTATAGCTTGAAATCAACATAAATGAACTAGATTAAAATTTGAAAAACCTTTATTTGCATCCTTAATTTGTTTTAAGCAAGTATTTTAAGTTAGTATTTAAGTTAGTATTTGAACATAGTATATGAATTTGAAAATTAATTGGTCCTTTAGCATAAAATGAATCTTCACTTTATTCATAACTAGCCGAAACTAAAAGACAGTGAAAAAAATCAAATGCAAAAGTAATTCTTATGAGCAAGAATTTAACCGATTTTGTCTCGGACGGGAAACATTTATACAAAGTTTTGTAGCCTTCATATTGAATTGTACGTTAGACAATTAAACCTTATAATACATTAAGGAATCGAAAAACTACAACATATCTACTATTGCAATAATTCACAATGTTAGCTTGTCAACTGTCTCAAAATTAGAAAAACTATATATTGTAGCCTACGATTTGTTGGAATCAATAAATTATAGAGAAATAGCAAATTTTAAAGCGATGGTCACACTCATTCAATTTCCTTATACTTTTCTTCTATTTTCAATTCTTCTATTTCACTATTTTATTCCTCCAATTCATTAATTTTTTTTTATTTTAAAATACAAAATATAGAAGGCACAATACCTACTTAATACAAATTTAATAATTATTATAAATCGAAAAAAAATAATGGAAAAACGAAATTATATAAGAATATCACAAAATAAATTTAATTTTTGTCCTCTTATTTGCTGGTCGAATAATTCTTAAGAATATCAAAAAATATTAACGAACAAATAAAAAATATAAGCGGTGTAAATAGACTTGAAAAAATAAAATATAAAAGAAATGAAAACAAAAATAAAACAACAAAATAATAAAATTAATTTTTTTTTTTATTTTCTGAAGAAAATACCTACCTATTTTCCTATCTTTAATGATTGCTGTATAACAACACTTTTATTCCTGATATTCTTTAAATAAATTAAATAAAAAGGAGGAAAAAAAAAATATTAAAGATTTAATTTTTTTTTGTTATTTTTTAAGTGATTTTTTTCTTCTGTGATACCAAGACGAATAGAATATAGAAAAGGAGAGCAAGTGAACTACAACAAAAAGAACAATAAGAACAAAATGAAAAAGAAAATAAAGAAAATTGTACTTAAGTATCTGTACAATTTATTGTAAGTACTTTTCTATTTTCCATTTTCATTATATTAAAAAGTGTACAATTTACACAGAGAGTACTTTCCCATCCTCTTAAAAAATAAAAAAAAAATATTTTCTTTTTTCCACAGATTCGAAGATTTCCGAGCTTTATAATTTTGATTTCATTTTTTGTCTTCTTATTTTCCGTATTCCTCCCTCTTCTTATCTTCTTCCTTCCTTCCACTGTTCCTTTTTTTTAAGTTTTCCTTCGAATTTTATTTTTTGCGTTTAAGGCTAAACAGAAATTACGTTTACTTTTTTATTATAGATCAAAGTGATTCGAAAATAAAATATTATAGGATTGCTATTTCACCAAACAAAGAAAAGGTTTCGTGTTAAGTCTACCAAAATCATGCAGTGGATGTTGGAGTTAGCAATGTATTGAGTGGAAAATATTACAAATTACGTAATTCGCAAAAAGAACCTTTGTGCAAGTTTTTATTTTTATCTCAAATTTTTTTCTTTTTCAATTTCTTTTGTTTTTTTTTCTTATTTTTTTTTCATGTTACTAATAACAACAATACGGTGAGAATTGTTGTTACATCTTGTGAAAATTTTCAGCCACTCAAATAAATAACGGAAAAATATAAAAACGGGAATTTTTTTCTATTTTCCGCTTGTTTTCTATTTTTTGTTATCTGTTTTCATTTTGAAAAATGAAGATATAAAAAAAAAAACAAAATTCTACAACAATAAAAAAAGAATGTAATAAAAGGAAAGAAAAGGAAACAATCGACAGAAAATACGATTGCTGAAAAAAAAAAATGAATCGGATTTCACAGTTTTTTTTTTAGCATTTTTCGTATTAGATTTTTTTTACTTTGTATTTGTGCAGCGATTTTTCGTTGTTCTGCGTTTCAATTTTTCAATAAATTTTATAATATTATATAATTTCATAGATGTTTATATGTATGTATTTATTTGTATACAAACAAACAATCATACATGTTCGTTAAAAAATGTTTCATGCATATTTAAGGGAAAGAAGGGGAAATAAAAGTGGGAGAAAAAGAAAACAGGCCTTCGGTTACAAATTATAATATGTTGTTTTTTTTTGTGTTTTTGTTTTTTTTTTTTTTAAGAATTTAAGTGTTAGAAACCTCAAGAGAGAGAGAAGAAAAATTCTGCGATATTTGGAAATCTTTGAAATAAATTTTCCAATGTGTATTTAAAATTAGCAGAGCCGAGTTAAAAAAACTTGTGAATTTTTCTTTTGTTCTGCCTTAAATAATTTTGTCTCATATCGAATGTAGAAGAAAAATAGTTTAACCATCCTTTATAGTTTCTCGATTTTTCTTTTTCAATTATCAGTGTGGAATTTAAGTTTCCATAAGTTCTTTTCGATTCTTCATCAATTCCGAAATTTGAATTCTGGTTCGTACTCTAAAAATCGAGTGCAAAATCGACAATCGAATGCAGTATCAAGAATCGAATCGATATTCGAGATATAAACAAATCATTTAATAAGTTGTAAGATGGATGTATTATTAATTCTCTTTCTATTTTGAAATAGTCTAAAAACCTTTCTTATTTTTCGTCGTCCAAATCGACCAGTTAAGTTAAGCATACCAGCAATTCTAACAATTGATATTAATTTCTTAAATGACAATTAAAATTCTGCTCACGAGAAGTTTAAAAAAAAATTATGAAAAGAAAAATATGTGATTTTATGAATAGAAATTTATTGATTTTATAAATTTCTAATTTTACCGATTTAGGACAAGACTATGTCATAATTAATCGATAATGGTCATATTGGTCAAATTTACATTATGCTAATGATGGTATAATTCAATAGCATTTTGTCAACGTAAAATACAGTTTATATAGAACAGATTCGTGAAATTGAAAGTTATGACCAAATATCAAATGAATTAATTCTCATTTTAACATAATAATTACACATTATACTGAATTTATGCAACACAATGTGAAAATTTGATAATTTAGTCGTATATTTCATAATATTTAATACAAACATATTGTTTAAAACATTATTCCCTCTGTGAATTGTTTCATTTAATTCTATTATTTCATTCATTATGATGATTGAGAAATAAATACTGTTCGCCAATACCATGCGTTTTGATGTGAAGCCGTCCCTGTTGAATAAAAAACTTAACATTTTCTCTTATAGAAAGAGAAACTCAAAAAAAACAAAAAAATATAATCAAAATCTTATAAAACTGTCGTGGTAACCAATTTTAAATAATGTATAAGTGTACATTATATATTT